GTACTTCAGCATCGTATTAATAAGCCATAGTTAAGAAGGTGCTAGAAGCCATCCTGAAAGCAAGCAGAAAGTCTCCATTAAGAATTCTGTAAAAATTCTACCTTTCCACATTCAGACCTGCGTTTTTGTTGCTTTGACTCAACTCCTTTGACTGTATGGTGGAAGAAAGGACTTTGAATCCATATTTAGAAGTCCTTCAGTGACTCCATAGTCTATATCGATAAAATTCAAAGTCCTTCCTGATTAGTGGTATTTGTCAACATTCTAGTGTCATCATCTACCATTATGCCTGCCCTTTCCGTATAAGACTGCTTGCAGTTCTCTGAAGATGACATCTTCCTCTGTGGTTTTTCAGCTTTCCTTCGTTGAGAATTCCCTACCTAGTAAACAACTTGCCCTTGAGGACCTTACTAAAGTGTTATCTCTGAGGCTTGTCTAGACAGCTCATCCCTCTTGTCTTAACTGATTTGTACATTTTGCAGTTAGTATTTGATAACCGGTAGTTAATGATTGTTTGTATGTCTGTCTCCACCAGGTTTTTGGGCTTCTTCATTTTTTGTTTCTTCTGAGAGAGTGCCTCTTACTGTTGCCCAGGCCAGGGTGCAATGCTTTAATCTCAACTGACTGCAACTTCTGCCTCCTGGATTCGCGAGATTCTCCTGCCTCGGCCTTCCCGGTAGCTGGGATTACAGTTGCACTCCACCACACCCGACTAATTTTTTTGTATTTTTAGTCGAGATGGGGTTTTGCTATGTTGGTCAGAATAGTCTTGAACTCCCGACCTGGTGATTCATCCGCCGTGGCTTCCCAAAGTGCTGGGATTACAGGCCTGAGCCACTGTGCCCAGCCTGGTTTTTGGGCTTCTTAAGGGAACAGAACTTTGCAACTCTAACACAGTGTGGTGCAAATGCTCAAAAACCATTTACTCAATGCGTTTTTGACAAATAATCCGAGTCTTGAATATAGCTATAAGATAGGTGAAATATGTTAGACCACTGTATTCAGCATCAGATAATTTAGAAAAGAAGAATGCACAAGGTTAAGTATCCAAAAATGGAGCAAAAATTTTTGCTGTTTAGGAATGAAATCCCAGTTATGTTTTTAAAAATTCACTTTATAGCCGGACGCGGTGGCTCACGCCTGTAATCCCAGCACTTTGGGAGGCTGAGGCTGGTGGATCACGAGGTCAAGAGATCGAGACCATCCTGGTCAACATGGTGAAACCCTGTCTCTACCAAAAATACAAAATATTAGCTGGGCATGGTGGTGCGTGCCTGTAATCCCAGCTACTCAGGAGGCTGAGGCAGGAGAATTGCCTGAACCCAGGAGGCGAAGGTTGCCGTGAGCCGAGATCGCGCCATTGCACTCCAGCCTGGGTAACAAGAGCGAAACTCCGTCTCAAAAAAAAAAAAAAATTCACTTTATGACACAGGAATTTAAGGGCATGACCAGTAAGGATTGCTGCTTCATTGGTCCTACAACTTTATTTTGAGGTGCAGTAATTTGCCCAAAGTCATGCAGGTAGAAAGGGAAGGCAAGGATTACAATCCAGGTTTGACCATCTTTGTATTTCACTTTTGCTCCCAGTCTCCTAATTCTAAATTTTAATTGTTTTACAATTCTAATGGGGGTTGTGAGCGAATTGGAAGTGTACTGAATAAAGAGTCTATTAAATTAATAGAATATTGAACTTGAAAGAATTAACAGATTATTTGGTTTAACTTTAAAAATTTTAGCATTAAACAGCTCCAGCCTGAAAAGACAAATAACTTGTTCGGGATTGCTTAGGCTGACCTATATTTCATATCTCCTGACCTTATGATTGTGCGTTTTTCGCTACTCCATGGTGCTTTGGGGTGAAATAAGGAGTTGCTAGTTTTTTTCAGAGGGAGTGCAAATCTGCTTGCACTTTATCCCTCTTTGAATCCATAGCTGCCACTTCTAGGGACTTAGAACCCTTGTGGCTGAGAAACATGATAATTCATTTGGAGATATAAGAGAAACCTAACCTTCACTATTCCACTCAGCCAGATAGTTTTAACATCAGTGCTTGGGGCCCTCTCTCCAGATGCCCCATAACAAGTGGCTTCTGATCACCGTAGAGACATCTCACATATGGTTAAGTTTTGATGGTAAAATGAGATTTTAATATAAGAAGGTCGCAGCTGGCTAATAGCATGGCTAAAATTATTTATGTAGCTGGTCTGTGAGAAAAGCCTGTCTTACTCCTATGTGATAGGATTTTGGGGGGAAAAATTGATGATTGTTGCTGCCTCTAAAAAGTCAGTTTTGAAATGTGTACTTAGTGGTTTGGGCCTGACCAATTCCAAAAGGCTTTTTATCTTACAAACAACTTAATGGTCAAAGAAATTTTAAGAATCAAACTTTTAATTTTTCTTCTTATCTCTTGTCATATCTAAGTGATTTTAAATGATAAAGCATAAATGTAATGCTGAATATTTGCTTTCATATTTGATGTTTCATTTTTGCTATAGTTTTTATACCTTTAGATGATTATACAGTGTTACAGTGACTTATTTCTTAATAATTGCACATCTAGATTGCTTACTATTTTGCAGGTAATGCAGTTAGTGTATAGTTCATCATTTTGCTTCTTTCCTTTAAGCTAAAGGCCTAGGAACAGGATTACAAAGTCAGAGGGTGTGAAGGTTTTGTTAATTTTGAAAAATATTATCAGATTTACTTCTAAAAGATACTGATTTACACTGACTTCAGTACAGTTCGGTTGACTACTTCTATCATACTTTATAGGTTTTTGCTTTTAAAAGTTTATTTTTTAAAAACAAGGATAAGGTTACTTGCAATCTAACATCATAGTCCATAGTAGAAAAGCAAATGCAGTATTCTTCTAGTTTTATTTTCTCCTTCATTTGTCCATCATCCGTAAGTTTATTGGAATCTTCTCACCAACTTTCATTAGCACTAGTATCATAAATATATTAATCTCTTGAAAAATATTTTTGATCTGTTTTTCCTCATTGTAGGCTTTGTAGGTTTTATATTATTACATTTATATTATTATATATCTATTTTAAAGTCAGTATGGCTGGGTGCAGTGACTCATGCCTGTAATCCCAGCACTTTGGGAGGCTGAGGTGGGAGAATCGCTTGAGCCTAGGAGTTCAAGACCAGCCTGGGCAACATAGTGAGACCTCATCTCTACTTAAAAAGAGAAAAAGATAAAAGAAAAAAGTCAGTGATTTTTGTCTTTTGATTGTGTTACCTGAGAATGAATGTCATGCTCCTGTCTGATGCATACTTTTATTTCCTTAAGCTTCTAGAGTTCATTTGGTTATGTATATATATTTAGAAAGTTAATATGCAATTGAGATCAAATTTCATTTATGTGTATTTTATGTTATAAAAAACTACATCATGTTTTCATTCTTTTTCTCTGAACTTAAATAGGAAAACAAAACAAAATAACCCAACTTTTTTTTAAAAAAAAATAGGTATTTTTAAAATAATTGATGGTGAATTTTTGATAAACTAAAATTTTATGACAGCAATGTATTGGTTAATTGAAATTTTTGTCTGTTCAAGATTAACCAGAGGATTGTCTTTAACTCTTGTTGTTAATCATTCTAAAGTAATGTGAAGGAAAAGCTTAGTAATCTGCTCCTATTGAAGAGTAGGCCATTCTAGGTAGATGAGACAGCACAGGATAATAGTTTACCTCGAGTGCTGGGTTTTGTTCTGGTTCCTGGCATTGAGTTTCTTACGTAGTCCTCAGCAATCCTAGAAGATAGGTTCTTTTAGTATGCTCATTTTGTGGATATGAAAATTTAGAGACCATAACCTGCCAAAGATAACATAGGTAGTGAGCATTGGAAGTGGAACTCAGCCTGCTTTTAAAAGATACTATTTGATGCCAAGGATTTGTACTTCATTTCTTACACATTGGAAAGATTAGGTGTTGCAAAGCAAGGGGATGATATGGTATGTTATCTCTTTTGGGGAGATTGCTCATGTGACAAAGTGGCTATATATTGAATTATGTTTATAATAGGAAGTGGTTGAAATAGTCATGTGAGAAATGAAGCCTAAACTTTGAGGTGGAAGTGGAGATCGGGGATATTTTGGAAAGATACAGGATTTAGTAACTGATCTATAAGAGAGTGGGAAGGCAGAGTATTGATTTGGAAGACATAGAGTGAGGTAATGACAGATGAATATGTGCTCACAGCCCTTTGTTATATTTCTTTCACAGCATTGACTGTGATGTATTGTACCTATTCTAGTGACACATCTGTCTCCCCCACTGGATTGTGTACTTGTCAAGAATAGGGACTGGGTAGAGGAATGAGTGCATATAGGATGAGATAATACAGAAAGACATCAAGAGACTGAACTGGGAAACACCAAATCACCAAAATGAAAGAGCGGGTGTAGGAAGAGGAGCTCTAGAATGTGACAGCTGTCAGGGAGGATGGGGAAAGAGCCATCAGGGAGGGAGCAGAGGGGAGGAAAGTATTAGCACAGATGTGAGCATGTAGAATGCTGCCACCTCAGGCTACAAACAGTTGTGGTTGATGTGGCCTGCTGTCATAAGCTGATGAGTGGTTGTGTGGGGTGAACTTGTCTTTCCTTTGTTGCAGACCGCTTCCCCCATGCCCCTCATTCCACTCCCTGCCAAGCTTTCTCTGAGTATCTGATTGCTTTCTGCCTCTTTGGCTTCTGACTTCTGCTTGCTACAGGTACTGATGCTGGGGTGTGATTCAGCCTATTGAGATTAACCAATGAGAACAGTCCTTTCTTTTTAAGTGGCTTGACCAGTCACAGTATGTGAGATGTAATCTCTGAGTTTTTAGCTCTTCTCTGCTGAGTTGATTGCTTTGGAATGCCCTAGAGTCGCACAGCCGCCCTGGCCTTCCGGAAAGACTCGGGCAAGCGTGGTGCATGCTGCTGGGGAGTCCCACCGTGGGAGTTGAGGCCTCAGATTCCAAGGGTAGGGTCGGAGGAATCGGCAGAGATGTGGACCTGCGGAACGCACTTCGAGGAGGGCGCCTGCACCCACACTCAGCTGTTCACGAGTCTTTCTTCCGTTTCTCTTCTGAAAGTCGTCCCCGGCCTTCTCTTTTTTTCTCTTCTTGTTTCCCTCTGGGAGTCTGCGCAACAGTGAATTTCCGTTTCCGGTGGTTTCCATTCCGACCTGAGCAGTTCAAACTGTGAGCTGGGTCAGTGCCGCAGGCTGTGGTAGGTGGTGGTGGGGACCCTGCGTCTGAGGCACTGGGAGGATCGTGAATCGTGCGGGTGGGAATGTCGTCCCCCGGTCATCCCAGTAATCTCTGCTCCCGAGGAACGGCATATTTCGCATCTGCGGGAGGTGTCTTGGGATCGTTGGGAGAATGACAGGACGCGGAGGGAAAGTGGCAGGGAGACTTCGTTTCCTGTAGACGGGGTCCCGGCAGATGACTTAGACCTGAGTTGGATCAGTTGACCCCAAATTGTGCTTTTCTTATCAAGAAGAAAGATAGGGAGAGAAACATTAGTACAAGTTCGGAACGAAAATATAGTAGAGAAGAAACATAATCTCTGAAATCACAGAGCTGTACCGTTTCAAAAATGTTCCTGGTGCCCAGCTCTCCTAGCTCCTGGCCAGTGTTCCTTGACATTCTGGTGATAGATAAAGACTTTCTGGGCCGGGCTTGGTGGCTCATGCCTCTAATCCCAGCACTTTGGGAGGCTCAGGTGGGTACGAGATCAACAGGTTGAGACCATCCTGGCCAATTTGGTGAAACCTGTCTCCACTAAAAATACAAAAAAATTAGCAGGCATGGTGGCACGCCCCTGCAGTCCCAGCTACTCAGGAGGCTGAGGCAGGAGAATCGCTTGAACCTGCTGGGTAGAGGTTGCAGTGAGCTGAGCTCTTGCCACTGCACTCCAGCCTGGAGACAGAAAGACACTTTGCCTCAAAAAAAAAAAAAAAACTTTCCACTGGTGTGTGTGCCTGTGGGGAGCACTGAGTCACCTCTGTGCTCCAGTGCAGCCTTCTAGTGTAGCCCTTATTGCATGGCACGGAAGATACCAGTTTGGATTTCCCTCTGCAAGTCAGATAGTGCCTAGCACATGGTAGACAGAAACCAATATTTATTAAATGGAATTAATGCATTACCTTAATTGAATGAAATGGTACCCTGCCCCGCTTTTTAAAAATCAAGCTTACCAAAAGAGAGCCCGCATAGCCAAGTCAGTTCTAAACAAAAAGAACAAAGCGGGAGGTATCATACTACCAGACTTCAAACTATATGACAAGGCTACAGTAATCAAAACAGCATGGTACTGGTACCAAAACAGAGATATAGACCAATGGAACAGAACAGAGGTCTCGGAGGCAACACAACATATCTACAACCATCTGATCTTTGACAAA